CCTCATCTTTCATAGACCCATCCGCTGACACGTCCACTCCCAAATATCTGAATACGTTCACCTCCTCCATACTCTCTCCCTCCAATCTGATATTCAATCTTTCATCACCTAATCTTTTTGTTATCCTCATAACCTTACTCTTTCCTGTATTCACCTTTAATTTTCTTCTTTTGCACACCCTACCAAATTCATCCACCAATCTCTGCAACTTCTCTTCAGAATCTCCCAAGAGCACAGTGTCATCAGCAAAGAGCAGCTGTGACAACTCCCACTTTGTGTGTGATTCTTTATCTTTTAACTCCACGCTCTTGCCAAGACCCTCGCATTTACTTCTCTTACAACCCCATCTATAAATATATTAAACAACCACGGTGACATCACACATCCTTGTCTAAGGCCTACTTTTACTGGGAAAAAATTTCCCTCTTTCCTACATACTCTAACTTGAGCCTCACTATCCTCGTAAAAACTCTTCACTGCTTTCAGTAACCTACCTCCTACACCATACACTTGCAACATCTGCCACATTGCCCCCCTATCCACCCTGTCATACGCCTTTTCCAAATCCATAAATGCCACAAAGACCTCTTTAGCCTTATCTAAATACTGTTCACTTATATGTTTCACTGTAAACACCTGGTCCACACACCCCCTACCTTTCCTAAAGCCTCTTGTTCATCTGCTATCCTATTCTCCGTCTTACTCTTAATTCTTTCAATTATAACTCTACCATACACTTTACCAGGTACACTCAAGAGACTTATCCCCCTATAATTTTTGCACTCTCTTTTATCCCCTTTGCCTTTATACAAAGGAACTATGCATGCTCTCTGCCAATCCCTAGGTACCTTACCCTCTTCCATACATTTATTAAATAATTGCACCAACCACTCTAAAACTATATCCCCACCTGCTTTTAACATTTCTATCTTTATCCCATCAATCCCGGCTGCCTTACCCCCTTTCATTTTACCTACTGCCTCACGAACTTCCCCACACTCACAACTGGCTCTTCCTCACTCCTACAAGATGTTATTCCTCCTTGCCCTATACAACGAAATCACAGCTTCCCTATCTTCATCAACATTTAACAATTCCTCAAAATATTCCTTCCATCTTCCCAATACCTCTAACTCTCCATTTAATAACTCTCCTCTCCTATTTTTAACTGACAAATCCATTTGTTCTCTAGCTTTCTTAACTTGTTAATCTCACTCCAAAACTTTTTCTTATTTTCAACAAAATTTGTTGATAACATCTCACCCACCTCTCATTTGCTCTCTTTTTACATTGCTTCACCACTCTCTTAACTTCTCTCTTTTTCTCCATATACTCTTCCCTCCTTGCATCACTTCTACTTTGTAAAAACTTCTCATATGCTAACTTTTTCTCCCTTACTACTCTCTTTACATCATCATTCCACCAATCGCTCCTCTTCCCTCCTGCACCCACTTTCCTGTAACCACAAACTTCTGCTGAACACTCTAACACTACATTTTTAAACCTACCCCATACCTCTTCGACCCCATTGCCTATGCTCTCATTAGCCCATCTATCCTCCAATAGCTGTTTATATCTTACCCTAACTGCCTCCTCTTTTAGTTTGTAAACCTTCACCTCTCTCTTCCCTGATGCTTCTATTCTCCTTGTATCCCATCTACCTTTTACTCTCAGTGTAGCTACAACTAAGAAGTGATCTGATATATCTGTGGCCCCTCTATAAACATGTACATCCTGAAGTCTACTCAACAGTCTTTTATCTACCAATACATAATCCAACAAACTACTGTCATTTCGCCCTACATCATATCGTGTATACTTATTTATCCTCTTTTTCTTAAAATATGTATTACCTATAACTAAACCCCTTTCTATACAAAGTTTCAATCAAAGGGCTCCCATTATCATTTACACCTGGCACCCCAAACTTACCTACCACACCCTCTCTAAAAGTTTTCTCCTACTTTAGCATTCAAGTCCCCTACCACAATTACTCTCTCACTTGGTTCAAAGGCTCCTATACATTCACTTAACATCTCCCAAAATCTCTCTCTCTCCTCTGCATTCCTCTCTTCTCCAGGTGCATACACGCTTATTATGACCCACTTCTCGCATCCAACCTTTACTTTAATCCACATAATTCTTGAATTTACACATTCATATTCTCTTTTCTCCTTCCATAACTGATCATTTAACATTACTGCTACCCCTTCCTTTGCTCTAACTCTCTCAGATACTCCAGATTTAATCCCATTTATTTCCCCCCACTGAAACTCCCCTACCCCCTTCAGCTTTGTTTCGCTTAGGGCCAGGACATCCAACTTCTTTTCATTCATAACATCAGCAATCATCTGTTTCTTGTCATCCGCACTACATCCACGCACATTTAAGCAACCCAGTTTTATAAAGTTTTTTCTTCTTCTCTTTTTTAGTAATTGTATACAGGAGAAGGGGTTACTAGCCCATTGCTCCCGGCATTTTAGTCGCCTCATACGACACGCATGGCTTACGGAGGAAAGATTCTTTTCCACTTCCCCATGGACAATAGAAGAAATAAAAAAGAACAAGAGCTATTTAGAAAAAGGAGAAAAACCTAGATGTATGTATATATATATATGCATGTGTGTGTCTGTGAAGTGTGACCAAAGTGTAAGTAGGAGTAGCAAGATATCCCTGTTATCTTAGCGTGTTTATGAGACAGAAAAAGAAACCAGCAATCCTACCATCATGCAAAACAGTTACAGGTTTTTGTTTCACAGTCATCTGGCAGGACGGTAGTACTTCCCTGGGTGGTTGCTGTCTACCAACCTACTAATATTATGGATGGATTATTGAAGATGTGTATATTAACGTAATATACGACATTAAATGAGACTCGGTGATTATTATTATGATTATTATTAGTATTATTATCATTTCTAATATGGCATCATTTGTGCAAGTCGTCTGGCTTCCACATCTCATATTTATGTTTATTTATTCTACTGTGGGGTGTATTTATCATCTTTATATGTTATGCATCGTGTTTATTATAGAATTTTGAAAAAATATCATAGATGGATTAATGAAAATGTGTATATTAACGTAATATACGACATTTAAATGAGACTCGGTGATTATTATTATCATCATTACTAATATGACGTTTCGAGATATAAGACACTCTTACTGATTTTAATGTGCACCTGCACGCCAGCACAGTATGTAAGTTTATTTAGGTATAGGTATATATAAGTATATAATTATCAGAGTATATATAAAATATGAAATAACTTTTAAAAACACTTGAAATTTTGGAGCTTCCAGACATAATGGAGAGACGTAGTGCTTATGGATCTCACAGAGAATGTAAACAAACCGAGTGGGGCGCAGTGACCGTATTAGAAAGTCAGGTGGGGGAGCCGTATAGTGAGTTTTGGTCATAATTTGAAATGACCATATTAGCGGAACGCCGTAAAGCGAAACACCGTAAAGCGGGGCCCTACTGTATAAGGGATGAGGGTGTGCGATCTGACCAGTTCTGTTACCCTTAATTTTATTTATATCCCTCCATGCCCAGCTAAGTGGAGTGTGGGCACTGAGATCATTGAAAAATTTTTCTAATCTGTTTGCCATAGCTTTATCATATGCTCCCTGGCAACAGCAAGGGCAGTTTGAAAGAGCTTCAGCATTTGAGGGGTATGATATTTTCTGTAGGCTAAACCTAGTATGTGAGCAGTATGTTTCAGTGTTTGAGATTTAGGATGAATGTAATAGATATGATTTTTATAGGATGTATGATTATTATGGAAGTTAGTTGGGTCTGGAGTACCCAACTAATAATATGTATGACGAAGTTATCATGCTGATGTGGAGGAACATGGAAAGCATTTCCGTTTGAACATCCCTCCAGGGATGATGATACAGGTCGGCTATCACTAATCTGGCAATAATGGGACTTGCAGTGTGCAGGATTAGTGATTTTGCTGGATTACAGAGTGGTTAGGTTAGAATACACTTAATTAATCTATCAGTAGATACTTTTTCTGCTACATCTCCTCATTTTCATCACTGCTTTCTCCTCCACTGGTTTGCTGCTGTGGATTTACAACCATCTGTGCAATTTCTGAGACAGTATAATGATGAAATTTGAGTCAATATAATGACTTGAGCCAGTAAAATTATGAAATTTGAAATTATGCTAGCCGAAATTAGTGCTGGATTACTGATGGAACCGGATAACTGATTGCCAGATTAGTGATGGCTGACCTGTATTATCAATAGCTTGAGTGGTTAATCTTGGGAAATGATCTGATGATATATCTGTTATACTGGAACACTCACAGCTGGCAAAAGTAATGTTAAAGCTGAGAGACAGATCAAGGATGCCTCCATAGATGTGTGGGTTCAAGGTCACCTACAATTTGCACATTATCATGACTGTTTAAAAGTGACAACTGCTGTTTACCATTAAAGTTATGAAACTGAGTTTTCATTGCTTTTGTGCCTTGCATTATAATCTCCAGTAATAAGAGTAGGTTCAGACTGAGCACAAGTTGGGAGCTCCAAGTAATTAAATTTATCAGCAGAAGCATACAGGTTAAATATGTTGAGAGCAGAGATCCCTATATAAATCCTAACACCGTGGTATTGAAGTCCCTCCATTTTCTTATGTATAAGAAGTTTACAGGAAAGCGATTTTTTAATATATAGAGCACAAGAGTTTGTAGATTTGAGGTTATATGTAACAAATGATGGCAGTTTAGAGATAAGGAGTTGCTGTCAGAGTGAGTGACTCGAGATATCTGGTGGGCACTTACAGATTTTGGGTCCTGTTATGCACAATGAATATTTACAAAGGTTAAGCCAGACACAGGTTATGTAATAGAGGTTTTTGTGGCCAGTATTATTTCTATGATGGGTCCTGTTACAACTATCATTGAAGTGCTCAGTGTTCATTGTTCATTTCAGAAAGAGAAATCTCATGTTTGTGTCCACTGTTAACTTCAGAAAGAGAACACTGATGTTCATTGTTCATTTCAGAATGAGACCACTGATGTTATACCAACATCCTGAAATATTTTACTGAACAAGTTATACTGAACATTACACTAGTGACAGAACCTGAACATCCATCATAAACAACATTCATCATAACATTCATGTTCAAGTAAGTTAGAATTTAGTTTAATTTATTTTACGTATGATTTTGTGTTCGATTTTATGTGTGATTTTATGTACAGTTTTATGTGTGGTTTTACGTATGGTTTTATGAATGGTTTTATGTATGATTTTATGTATAGTTTTATGTAAGAAGGAATAACATCTTGTAGGAGTGAGGAAGAGCCAGTTGTGAGTGTGGGGGAAGTTTGTGAGGCAATGGGTAGAATGAAAAGGGGTAAAGCAGCTTGGATTGATGAGATAGAGATAGAAATGTTAAAAGCAGGTGGGGATATAGTTTTGGAGTGGTTGGTGCTATTATTTAATAAATGTATGGAAGAGGGTACGGTACCTAGGGATTGGCAGAGAGCATGTATAGTTCCTTTGTATAAAGGCAAAGGGGATAAAAGAGAGTGCAAAAATTATAGGGGAATAAGTCTGTTGAGTATACCTGTAAAGTGTGTGGTAGAGTTATTATTGAAAGAATTAAGAGTAAGACAGAGAGTAGGATAGCAGATGAACAAGGAGGCTTTGGGAAAGGTAGGGGGTGTGTAGACCAAGTGTTTACAGTGAAACATATAGGTGAACAGTATTTAGATAAGGCTAAAAAGTTTTTGTGGCATTTATGGATTTGGAAAAGGTGTATGACAGGGTGAATAGGGGAGCAGTATGGCAGATGTTGCAGGTGTATGGTATAGGAGGTAGGTTACTGAAAGCAGTGAAGAGTTTTTATGAGGATAGTGAGGCTCAGTATGTAGGTGACAGGGAGATTATTTCCCAGTAAAAGTAGGCCTTAGACAAGGATGTGTGATGTCACTGTGGTTGTTCAATATATTTATAGATGGGGTTGTAAGAGAAGTGAATGCTAGGGTCTTGGCAAGAGGTGTGGAGTTAAAAGGTAAAGAATCAAACACAAAGTGGGGGTTGTCACAGTTGCTCTTTGCTGATGACACTGTGCTTTTGGAAGATTCTGAAGAGAAGTTGCAGAGGTTGGTGGATGAATTTGGTTGGGTATGTAAAAGAAAAAAATTACAAGTGAATATAGGAAAGAGTATGGTGATGAGGATAACAAAAAGATTAAGTGACAAAAGATTGGATACCAGATTGGAGGGAGAGAGTATGGAGGAGGCAAATGTATTCAGATATTTGGGAGTGGATGTGTCAACAGATGGGTCTATGAAGGATGAGGTGAATCATAGAATTGATGAGGGGAAAAGGGTGAGTGGTGCACTTAGGAGTCTGTGGAGACAAAGAACTTTGTCTGTGAAAGCAAAGGGGGAAATGTATGAGAGTATAGTTATACCAACACTCTTTTATGGGTGTGAAGCATGAGTGATGGATGTTGCAACGAGGAGAAGGCTGGAGGCAGTGGTGATGTCATGTCTGAGGGCAATGTGTGGTGTGAATATAATGCAGAGAATTCGTAGTTTGGAAATTAGGAGGAGGTGCGAGATTACCAAAACTATTATCCAGAGGACTGAGGAGGGGTTGTTGAGGTGGTTCAGACATATAAAGAGAATGGAACAAAACAGAATGACTTTGAGAGTGTATAAATCTGTAGTGGAGGGAAGGCGGTGTAGGGGTCGGTGTGGTTGGAGGGAGGGTTTTTAATACTTAACGTGCTGTTGGAGTGTAAGCAAAGTAACATTTATGAAGGGATTCAGGGAAACCAGCAGGCAGGACTTGAGTCCTGGAGATGGGAAGTACAGTGTCTGCACTCTGAAGGAGGGGTGTTAATGGTGCAGTTTTATAACTGTAGTGTAAAGCACCCCTCTGGCAAGACAGTGATGGAGTGACTAATGATGAAAGGTTTTCTTTTTCGGGCCACCCTGCCTTGGTGGGAATCGGCCGATGTGTTAATAAAAATAAAAAAAATTTATGTATAATTTTACATATGGTTGAACAACATTGTTAATGGTAATTGTTAATTGTAATATTGTTTTTATTATGTGCAACTTCAAGCTTATTTTTCTTATAAACCTCCATCGTGACTACCTCGCATTCATATTAACCCTTTGACTGTTTTCGACGTGTAAATACGTCTTACGAGCCAATGTTTCTGATGTATATATACTCAATAATTCTAGCGGCTTCAAATCAAGCGGGAGAAAGCTGGTAGGCCCACATGTGAGAGAATGGGTCTGTGTGGTCAGTGTGCACCACATAAAAAAAATCCTGCAGCACACAGTGTGTAATGAGAAAAAAAAAAACTCTGATCGTTTTTTTGGAATAAAACAACGACTTTGAGGTGTATTTTCGTATAGTATTTATCGTTGTATTCGCGTTTTCATGGTCTTAGGTGATAAAATGGAAAACATATTACAGAAATAGAGATGATTTTCATTACTTTGACGATGAAAACGACCTTGAAACTGAGCTCAAATTAGCGGAAATGTTCGATTTTTACCAATGTTCAGGAGTAAACAAATCACACCACACGTCCAATACACGTCAACTAGGGAGTCTTATATTCTTTCACTAGTGCACCGATATTATTTATACCATTTCTACAATAATGCAGTAGTCTGCATAACAGTAAATTTTGAATTTTTTTGTGTGAATAAAAAATCAAAATAGAAAGCAATAATAATAGTATAAGAGGGGCCTAGAGATGTGACTAATGAACAGAGGATATGCTATTTTAGTGCCAAGAATGTCTACCTTGTTTATTCTGGACCCTATTTTGAAATTGGCATCTTTTTTAATTTGCATGAAATTGGCCAAATTGCCAATTTCTGATCACTATACTGGGTAGTTCAAATTGGTAAATGGGCAGTTTCTTGTACTCAGCTGATAGATAAAATGGAGTTCTAAAGAAATAGCTATTAGTTTGTTCAACTGGAACAACGAAATTGGCTGAAAACAGGGCTCAAAGTCGGCGAAATCGCCGATACACATATGTCACCGATTCCGCTAACTTTGCAGGAGCGTAATTCCGTGAGTTTTCGACCAAATTTCGAACTTTTGGTGTCATTACCATCGGGAAAAGATTCTCTATCATTTCATAAGAAAAAATAATTTTTTTTTTTTTCAAATATTTGGCGACATAGAATGACAGTTTCAGAAAGGGGCCTGAAACAGTCAAAGGATTAAGATAAAGATTTATTAAAAAGTTAACCACTCTCATCTTGTCTAGACTTAAGTAATTATTATGCGCTAGGATAAGTCTGCCCAAAATACCCTGGCATGATAGTGACTTTCTTTGTGCTTAACAAATCAAAATTGTTTTTGCACATTGTAACCTTTGCAAAGAAATAAAATCTTTATTCCTAAACATATCAACGTGAAAGACCACCAATAAACTCATACTTAACATTAACAAAACCTTCAACATTATGTTTGGCAGCAGAACAATGAATGTTGAACTAAACATTGACAATACTCTTATAATGAGGGAAAATTTGTGGGTAACTTGTATATATTTTGGTAGAATTACCGACAATATGTGAAGTAAAAGGACACAAGTGCAACTAATGTGACATTTTATTGTGGCAACGTTTGCTCTCCAGGAGCTTTATCAAGCTGTTACAAGCAGTACATGGACACAGAGGGTATATATAGGCTTAGAGTAAGGTGCAATACTAGTGGTGGTAGTAGTAGTAGTAGTAGTAGCAATATAAGTTGTTGTAGTAGTAGTAATACAATATGGTAGTACAATTAACTTACCCCCTTTTTTCCCCCCTTTTTTTTTTTATCCTTTTACTCATGTGCAAGTTAATTGTTCTATCATATTGTATTACTACTACTACTACAACTTACATCACTACTTCTACTATTACCACTATATTGCACCTCACTTTCTAATCCTATATATACCCTCTGTGGCCATGTACTGCTTGTAACAGTTTGATAAAGCTCCTGGAGAGCGAAACGTTGCCACAATAAAATGTCACATTAGTTGCACTTGTGTCCTTTTACTTTGATAGTAACTTGAAATTCAAAACTACATCCAACACATTACAAGTGTCCAAATTATTGACATCTTCTCAAAGATAATAATAATAATAATAAATAATAATAATAATAATAATAATAATAATAATAATGGGAGACGGCCGACTTGTTGAAAAAAAAAAAATAATAATAATAATAAATCTTTATTTCTATAAGTACAGTAGGGCCCCACTTATATGGCAGGTTAGGTTCCAGGCTACCGCGGTAAAGCGGAAATCACTGTAAAGTGGAACACCCTTTTTTTCCCCTTATAAATGCATACAAATACTAGATAACAAGTTTACATTAACATATATTAAGTTAGCAATAGAACTAGGCATCAAAAAACAATAAAAAAGTAAAATACACACATAGTCACTCATTACTTACCTTAAAATATTTGTAGTCTTAACCCTTTGACTGTCGCAACCCCCAATCCTGAGGTGTCTCCTGGTGTCGCAAAATTTCAAAAAAAAAAAAAAATTATTTTTTCTTATGAAATGATAGAGAATCTTTTCCCGATTGTAAAGACACCAAAAAAACGAAATTTGATGGAAAACTGACGGAATTACACTCTTGCGAAGTTAGCGACCTTGGCGATATTTACAAATCAGCGATTTCATCCACTTTGAGCCCTATTTTCGGCTAATTCCATTATTCCAGTCAACCAAACTCATAGCTATTTCTTCAGAACTCCATTTTTTCCATCGATTGAGTACAAGAAACTCCCCATTTACTGTTTTCAACTACCCAATAACATGGTCAGAAATTTGCAATTTGGCCAATTTCACGAAAATTAAAAAATATGACAATTTCAAAATAAGGACCAGAATGAACAATGCAGACATTCCTGGCTCTAAAATAACATTTTCTTTGTTCAACAGTCATGTCTCCAGGCCCCTGTGATATTACTCTTGCTTTTTATTTTGAAATTTTATTCAAACAAAAAATAGAAGATTTACTGTTATGCAGACTACTGCAATACTGTAATAATTGTAAAAATTACATCAACCCATTCATGACTGCATATTAGAATGGCTATTTGGACATTTATTGGACAATGACATCATTTGTTTA